GACTTCCATTTATTAGATAAGTTGCTGTTTTGAGGGTCTCTCCCCAAAAGAACTTAGGAAGACCAGAACTATAGAGCATACATCTCACTTTTTTCAATAAGTATCTATTCATTCTTTCAGCAACACCATTTTGTTGAGGTGTATATGTTACAGTTCTGTGTCTTAATATTCCATTATCTTTACAAAACAGGTCAAATTCAGAGTTGCAAAACTCAAGACCGTTATCAGTCCTTAAAGGCTTGATTTTCTTATTTGTTTGGTTTTCAATCATTAATTTCCAATGTTTAAAGGTTTGAAAAGTATCAGATAATTGTTTTAGAAGAAAAGTCCAGATTTTCCTTGAAAAGTCATCTACTATTAGTAGATAGTAACTAAATCCACTTAGAGTATTTACAGATGCTGGTCCCCAAAGATCAGCATGTAAATATTCTAATATAGAAGTAGATTTATGAATACCAGTTTTGAAAGGCAACTTTTTCTGTTTTCCAAATATACAATTTTCACAAAAATCAAAACCCTTATCATTATCCTTACCAAAACATCCAAGCTTATTTAAGATTATTAGTCACTTTTCTGAGATGTGGCCAAGTCTTTTATGCTAAATTAAAGATTTATTGGAATCAGAGTTTAAGGCTGTAGAGCAGTGATCTATCATAGAATGAGCACATACAGTATATATGCCATTTATCTTTTGAGAGGATATGATAGTTTTATTTCCTTGCATAAGTGTTAAAAAACCTTTATGAATCATGATGCTGTATTTATCATCTAGCTCACCTAAGAAAATAAGATTTCTTTTTAACTCTGGAACATATCTGGTGTTTTCAAGTTTTAGGGTACAATTATTATTTAATGAGAGTTTGACCTTTTCAATCCCCTTAATTTGACAACTCATGTCATTTCCTATCTGAATTTGTCCTCCATTTAGGTCAACAAATTCAGAAAAATATTTTTTTGTGGGACACATGTGAAAGGTGCAACCAGAATCAAGGACCCATTCATTTAGGTCTCTTCTGGTGGTTGTTACTAAAACAACACATTGAATATCAGATTCATCTCTGCAGGCTACAGCTGCAGATCCCTCGGTATTAGTATTCTCTTCCATATCTGAGATTTTCTTGAAGCAGTCTTTTCTTACATGGCCAGTTTTACCACAGTAATAACATTTCCTGATTTGATTTTTAGTTTTCCATTGATTTTTATTCTTTCCCTTAGATCTGGAAAATTGAGTTTTCCCTTTCTTATTTAAATTTTGATTTTAGGGATATTGTTTCTTATTTTGGTTTTGTTTTTCCTTTATGAATAACCCCTCACTATACCTCGAGTCTTTAGACTCAGATTTTATTTCAAGTTCTCTATTTCTCAGGGCTGAGGTTATTCTATCAATGGTAAGTTCTTGCCCCCCCTCCCCCCCATTCTAATGCATTTCTAATGTCTCTATACTTATCACTTAGCGAATTTAACAATGCCACAGCTTGTTGATCATCAGAAATTTCTTCATCACAGTTAGTCAAATCCTGAATCAATTTTGTGAATCTGTCAAGGTTATCTTCTAGATTTGAGGTAGGATCAAATATGAAATTATAGAATTGCCTAAGAAGGTAGCATTTATTAGGCATGGTTCTAGTTAGATATAATGTTCCTAACTTAGTCCAAAGGGCCTGAGCAGAAGTAGTTTCTCCAACTTTCCTAATTACACTATCAGATAAGTGCAAGAAAATTGTGCTTCATGCAGTATCATCTAACTCTTGTCTCCTATAGGCACTAGTTTTTGTAGGCCAATTACCATCAATGGTTGCAGCACATCTCTGCTGCAGCAATAATGCCCTCAGTTTTTGGCGCTAGAGACTAAAGTCTCTAGTACCATTCCATCTCTCAACTTCAAATTTTTGAGATGTGGACATGATGACAAATATGTGCACACAAAATTTATACAGCACACAGTGTATATTAATTCAGATATTTTATTTTGATTGATAAAAAAGTGACAGAATTAATAAGGCAGAATATATAATTGTGTCTTCCTATCATGCAATACACAATTCAATTCAAAAAGAACAGGAACTGAAAGTCAATTTAAGAATGGTCTAAGGAGTGATAATCCTTGCAACCCACTACTTCCTTAGATTCCCAGATCCTCGCAGGAGATCTTGGACAAAGGTAAGCAGTGGAAGATTACTTACCTTAATGACCAAAACTCTAAACAAATTACAATTATAGTTTAATAAAGGGGGTTCCAGAAAATACCAAAGTCTAAAACTTAATGTTTTAGAGTATAGGAAACAGTAATGAAGTGTCAAAATCGGAATAAGAGGAGCAATGCAGGTTCAAGAAGCCAACGAGTCACTAGAACTCAGTAGTGAGTTAAAACTCACCACAACCCGGACCGAGTCAACT